CACTAGTTTTATTGTTGGAATGAAATATAGCAAGACTTGCATTGGCTACTCAGAAAGTTATCAGCCGGTAGTAATTGGGTTAAGAATCACCCTTCCATGAACTAACATTGCTAGTTTTATTGATGCTGGAATAATATGTATTATTTTTGTACTTTTATGAAAACACCAGAAGTAATGATACTTAGGGTATAAAAAATTACTGTACATGCTTTAAAAATTTTTTCATTATAATTTATTGCAAAAATTAGGTGTAAACATATACAAATGAAATACTTAATTATCTTTAGACAACTCTAAGTAACGTTTTCAGAAGTGGGACTTTTACGTACTAACTTACAGCTTTATAAGAATTTTATGGCTTATGATTTAACAATAATGTAAGGTTTCTTGTATTTTGCCCAGCAACCTTTATAAGAAGTTAACAAAGAGTGATCCACCTCAGCCTCCACCTGATGAACCACTGCCAGACCATCCACTCCCTCCAAAACCCATGCTTAGATTTTACCTGGTTGGGTGGGGTGTAGCTACAATTGTATGTGGAATCTCAGCAGCTGTGCATCTAGAAAACTATGGAGGACATTCCTAGTAAGTAACTAAAAACTACTGTATAATTTCCAAAACATATATCAACAAACACATAAGAAAAAATACTCAAAAAAATGTGTTTTGTATTTTAAATAATCTGCCCAGTTTTGTACTGGCCTCCCTACTTGTGTTAAGAGAAGTGTTAATACTTTCAAAAGTAAGATGAATAAACTTTTTCCATACCTACCCAGCTTACTTGACTAACAGGTGAATCTGTTTCAATGGCCCTCAACTGGGACAGCAATCTTACAATGCTAGAAACAGGGTTTCGATACCCATAGTGGGCAGATCACAGATAGCCCATTGTGTAGATTTGTGCTTAACTTCAATCAAACTGTTTTAATGATTAAAGTAATTTAATGCTGATTTTATATATGAATGTAAATATATATATATATATATATATGTTAGAAGAAAGATACATGGTTCAACAATACATACAATAATTCTGAGCTTTATAAACATATCTTCACAAAAAATGGTAAGATTTTGTTAAAGAATGAGATTATTTTAATTAAGTATTTTCACTAAATATTTGTTACTTATTTATTGTAGTTATTTGCACTCAAGGCTCTGAATAGTTTGACTGGAGGGTGATTTTCATTTTAAGTATAAAAATGTTTTTTTTCATCTTAAGAGTTTTCAAATTTTACTTGCATCACCTCTAGAACTTCCTAAATGAATATCAAACATTTCTAAGATAAATGTTTAAATTTTCCATTTTCTCTACCATATTACTAACTGTAGCTATTATCACCAATGTATAAAATGTTTAACATTAAGAAATAAAAAAATATACATAAATTATAATTTTTTATCAAATAATTGTAAAAGATATTTTGGCTATATTCATAATTACATTTCTTTACCTTTTCATGTATATTTTATTTTTCAATGTTTTATTTTTCATTTCCTGACATTTAATGTTTATTATCCACCTCGACACATGTCAGTGGGTGCCTGCAGACAATATTATGATATCATCAGCAAAGATACTTTAGCCTTCGGCAAAATTTTCTTGCACTTGCCTACTACTTCGAGCCTCTCAAAACTGAGGCAGAGTTAGGGCTATGTTAAAAAAATTATTAAACCTTTCAAATATGCTTTTTAAAACATAAATAATGGGAAATTAACTAAAATATAAAATTAAAGCCTAAATACAAATATCTAGGTGAGAAACAATGCTAAGTGCTAGCAAGGACAAAAGTGGCAACAGCTCTAAGAGTGGTTTGACATACTTGATAATGACTGCTCGTGCCAATTTTGAAATAACCTTTGGAAGATTATAGTTTAGAATTAGCTCTTTATATTGGTTATAAACATGTACATCATATAAGTACACATCTTGTAAATCTCAAGTCTTAAATATAGAAGATGGGCATGGGGGGGAGGTTGTCAGGGGTTTGAATAATTTATTTCTTCTTTCTAGGAATTTATCTTAAGAAATTTAAAATGAAGGTGTCTAAACAGTGAAGTAAATTTGTGTCTAGGCATTAGATGTAAAGTTTAGATCTAGTAGTATTCAAATTACAGAAACGAAAAGAATTAACACTGGTGCATCAAGTGACACCAAAACTGAAAGTTTAATATTTTTTTAAAGGTTTCTCTTGAAATAAAGGAATTAATAGCTAGATAATATAATACTTTGAATTATAACTTACCTTATAATGCTAATTTCATTGGCATTTATTGATAGTAAAGTTGTTTATTTAAATTTTAAATGTAACTCTGTAAAACCTTGACATGTGCAAAAAAAGGTTACAAGCTATATCCAAGGGGTCTATCTGTAACCGGAAGGTCAAACATTCAGAAAAGTGTCAGAATAAATATTATGTAGTCATATAAATGCTGATATTTTAGAACATTCTATACCAGCCCATTTCGGCCATGGTATGTATATAAATACCATTGTAGTGTTAATTTTTTCATTATATTTATGGAATTCTCCTTATTAAGCAGTTACGACTCAATCACCACTTGCAACTAGGCAGATATTTCTATCATCAGTTCTAAATGCTGTCATTATGGTTAAAATAGTCATTAAAGAAAGCTAAATTTTAAGTTCTAGCAGAAATGCTGCCATATGTATGGCTGTTTGTGCTAGTAATTACTACTCATAACCACATTGAAAATATTTAGAAAAAGTGAACATTTTCTGGGAAGTACTGCATGTGAAAAGTGTTCAGATGGTGTTCTTTAGTCATATGCAACTCATTGCATCAAAATGATTCAATGTACATAGCTCACAATTTTTATATATTAAACATGGTACTGTATATTGAAAAAATAATCATTTTTTAAAAACTCCAGTTTCTCAGTATTAAATTTAAAAATTATATCAATAAAGATATAATCAAACCCTCACGTACAGTCCCAGTGAAAGTCGTGTTCTTGTCGTGAGGAAAGTACTTTTATTTATAATTGTTATATTATAAAAAAATGGTCGTTGCATATACCACAGTTATTTTTATAATTGTCTGAATCTTGTATACCTAAAATGTGGAATGTTTTATAGATTTTTGTTTGTGGCACCATTCAGTAGATGGCACAGGAGTTTTGGTTACATACATAGATACTGACATATTTACTACATCCATTATAGTAAAAATTTTCTAATTATCAAAGTAAATTCATATTTTTATAGTGCTTTTGTTTTCTTTAAAAATGCTATTGTATTTTAGTAATAAGAACAGAATGTTTAATTGTTTGTTTTTAGATTAATTTCTTTCCATTACTATTATGTTTGTGAGAGAGTTTATATATTAAATATATAATTCAATTTTTATATATAAAGTTTATAATGAATTATAAAACATGTCTTGGTTTTCTTTTTAGTTGTTTTCTGGCCTTCAGTCCAAGTATTGCAGCATTCTATGGTCCAACCTCAGTTTTACTGTTCTTCCTCTGTGTATTTCTTTTGCTTATTCGATGTGTACTGCAAAGTTCTGTGGACTCATCTGGCCCTCTGTTGGACAACATTCCTATAGCCAGCAATGTGGATACAGATCTCACTCACAACAATATTGATTCCCAAGAGCAAGACTCACTAAAAACTGAAAAAGCATCCACTCTGGAGAGCACTGAAGATAATGAATTTTCATATCATACACAGCTTCGAGCTCATTTAGTGATGCTTATTTTGTTTGTTTGTGCCTGGGCTTCAGGTGCTGTCACAATAGGTAGATCTACAGCTGGACATCTTCCAGCTGATGACTTAATTTTTGGTTTATTATACTGCCTCTTCAGCATCTTTCTTGGAGTATTTGTTCTTGTATTCTTCTGTTATTCTAGACAAGATGTACGTATGTGTATTTTTAAATGGTTAAACTTGAAGGAACCAGACAGTGAGGAAACAGCAGCTCTGTCAGAAGTGGTACCTCCAGTCAGTGGTCATGATGCTGTTTCTAGTGAACCAGTTTTGCAGTCAACCAATAGCCTTCATTCTTCACACACTAGTAAGTCAAACAATCCAGTTATTAAACAAGGGCTAGATCACAGCAAGCCACCATCAGTTAATTTACTTTCATCCTACCCTAGTGCCACTGACCACTCCTTCAGTGGAGCTGAAATGTTCTATGATCCAAGACAAAGTGTAGTAGCAAAAAAATTTTTTGAAAAGAATCGTCGTCAACAACAGTTACGATTGCTAAAAAAGAATAACTTGCAAAAAGAAGCAGCCACAAGAAATAGTGATAGTGGAAAAACAAATGACCCCTTTCACAACCAGAAGAGCGATTCAGAACAAACAAGCATGTTGGATGGAAGCAGTATCGTTTCTGGTATTCCTATAGCTTGCAACATTTTACCAGACTTGTCAAAGTCTTCAGTTGCACAAGAGAATGTGTGTTTAGGACAGCGAACAGAAGGTGAAGGTGCAGATTTGAAAGTTCCTTCCAATAAGAGGGGCAGTAGTCCAAAAAAATTGCCTGGGTTTCTATTGGATGAGAATAAGATGCATAATTGTTCACTCTGTAGTGACACTTCTCAGGACACAAGTTGTACAAATTACCCTAACATACAACATTATGCACCAGCACCTTCACCCATGGGAATTCCTCCATGGTTGTCTGGACCACCAACTGACCCAAGAAAACCTAGATACATTGGTCATAAAAAGAATTCTTGTGTAGATTGTTCAGATAGTAGCAGGGTGGCTCCATCTGTGTTTACCCACAGCTGTTGCTCAGAGCTAACTGAAGGTAGTTACCCACAAACTGTAGGTCATAAACCAAGGTCTAGAGAGAGAAACAGACATAGAAGAAATCGGCGTCAACGTAGTTGGGATGATCGGTATAGAAGAGAACGAGCCAAAAGTCAGACTTGTAAGGAATGTTGTTCAGTTCACTGTAATCAGTGTCTTCACGAGCAGTCCTATCCTATGGGAAACATGAGTAGGCAGCGTCACCGAGCAGGTAGCCGTATGTCTGACAAGTCTCGGCAGTCAGACCACTTACAAGGAAGTCGTCAGTTTACTCGCTCACAAAGTGCTTATGAACAAATGGCACGTCAGGTGCTGGATGACCTAGTGTCATCTTCAGGAGCAGATGAAGGTAGTGAAGGCTCAAGAGGAGGAAAGAAAGCAGAGACTTTTTTGTAGCCCCATTTATGTTTTTTGTTGTTTTTTTTATATATATATTTCAGAAAAAATGGCAACATCAGTTTCATGGTGTGGCTCCATTGATTGAGCTGTAGTCATTGTATAGTTTTACAACTCTTTGTATATATCATGCTTTTAGTGTTTCAGTCATTCATTCACTTGTAATTTTTTTTACTGTATTTATGTTTAAACAATACTGCAAAAAGCTTATGTTAATATTGAAAACTTTTGTTCCTACCTCGTTTATCTTGAAATGTAAAGGTAAGATATGAGCAATTTATAGAGTGGTTTACAATAAAATGTTTAAATATAAAACAAATTATTGAAGTTTCTGTATAACACAAAAAATATAAAAGTCAGCTGTTTGTGAAAAGCTATTGGTCAGTCATATTTTCATTTAATAGGTCTTATTACTTGCTGTCTGCTAAGGACACTGATAAAAAAAAAAATTTAAATATGATTATTATTTATTAATTTTTCCAGAATATTGTGGGAATTTATTTAGAAATTTACATCTCAGTAACCTTTTATGTATCATCTTTCAACTGAGTATAATTAAATCAAAATAGAAGTGTTTATTAAACTGAAGAATATTATTGATAAAATCATGCAAGACAGGTACATCACCGTAAAAGGGAACAAAAAATTCAGTCCTTTCAAGAAAAGTTTGGAAAACTTGAAGAGACAAATGAAACTTTTCCTTTGAAAATTAATAGTTCTAAACATGAAAGTATGTATAGTAATGGGTTAACTTGTGGCAGAAAGTTTTATCTCTTTCAAAATTGCAATTTAATCACTACATATATATATAGAACATTCTGTAGAAGAAGTAAAATACACCTATCAAGTACAAAAAAATAATTATTTAAAGACAAAGAAAAAGAATTTAACTTGAAGAAAATTAGTATATTTTTTAATCCAGTACTATTTCATATTGTAAAAGTAATTATTACAGAACTGTATAGAATATTAAATCTCTTATCTCCTCTAAACTATTGGATGATACAAATACCTTTATAATCAAACACTTAAAAAACTACAGTTGAGTATTTCATGTGTGAGATGTCTTTGGTCTACTTAAAAAGAACTAAAACTTTTGGGTAATGCTGGAAGAGATTTGAATTTTCCAAATGAATAGCTACTTAATCACACTTGATTTAATTGCCAAGTCAGAGACCCACACTAAGATTCAAGTATAACCTTTCCTAATGTTCTACTACTGATTAGAGAGGAGGAAGCCAGTCAGCATAGGGGCTTTGTCTAGGCTTTTTGAACTGAGTAAGAAGAGTTTAGCTGTCATTTTAATAAAACACCCACAGCTGAAAGTGTGAAACATAACCCGTAGCACCAAAGCCATCGATCCACAGCACAACACATTAATAACAGACCACCATAAGCCATATTTTAACTTGCTTTATTCACTAGTTCATATACAAAAGTAGTATTGTAAAATTAAATTAAAACACAATAATCCAGATCTGAATTACATTTCTTTTTTGAACCTGTAGAAATAAGTGATTAGATGTAATTATCAAACCATAAGATTAAATTAAAACACAATAATCCAGATCTGAATTACCTTTCTTTTTTGAACCTGTAGAAATAAGTGATTAGATGTAATTATCAAACCATAAGATTAAATTGAATTTTAATAAAATAATCATCAATAAGTAATGTAAGAAAATTTTGTCATACTTAGATTTAAACTATCATGTTCCACACAATTTTTTTATAAATTCTTCATGGGAAATAACATACTTCCTTCTGTAATTGTGTAGGAAACATACAAATCCACATCGACTAGCCAAAACGTGCAGTATATGTAATATGTGACTTTCATTTATACAGGCCCGGCATGGCCAGGTGATTAGGGTGCTCGACTCGCATTCTGTAGGTCACGGGTTCAAATCCCCATCCCACCAAACATGCTTGCCCTTTCAGCTGTGAAGGAGTTATAATGTGACAGTCAATATGTTGGTAAATTCATTGGAAAAAGGAGTAGCCCAAGAGTTGGCAGCGGGTGGTGATGACTAGTTGCTTTCCCTCTAGTCTTACACAGATAGCCCTCGTGTAGCTTTGCGTGAAATTCATAACAAACAAACAAACAATTGACCTATTTTTATTTTTTATATGGTGCATAAACTTTAAATGATACTGTCTGGTTCTTCTATATTAGCTATCCATTCCTTTAATGCTAATTTAATGTTTTTATTTTCTATACTTAACAGTGATCTTATTTCATTTGGTGCTTCATTAAAATAATTTTTTTCTAAATATTTTCTTGTTTACTTTAGGACGTTTAAGTACCTATATACTTTAGCTCTCGTTTTCTATACTGATTTAATTTTTTCCCAATTTTGAATATCTTTACTAAATCTATTTAGTATGGTCATATTGTGATAATGACAACATGCATCTTATAATATTCTTTTGTAACTGTATTGCCTCCCAGTGGCACAGCTGTATGTCTGTGGACTTACAATGCTACAATCCGGGTTTCGAAACCCGTGGTAGGCAGAGCACAGATAGCCTATTGTGTAGCTTTGTGATTAATTACAATGCTACAATCCGGGTTTTGAAACCCGTGGTGGGCAGAGCACAGATAGCCTATTGTGTAGCTTTGTGCTTAATTACAAACAAACGATTAAATCTAAAAAAAAGTATTATTCGTTTTTTTTAACAATCTTTTCAAGCATCTTTGATATAACTGATAATAAAGCAATCAGTCTGTAATTATTAAAATCATCTTTATTTCATCCATTTAATTTTGGTATAATAACAGCAATTTCTAAAACATCTGGGAAAACTCCTTCCATTGACATATTAACAAAATACGTTATTGATGGTTTCCGTTTTTCCATATTATTTTTAATTATTTCTGCTGTAACTTTATCTTTTCCTGCACATTTTCTTTTTTTTTTTGAGAGTTTATAGTTTTTTATTTCACCATTTGGTATAAGATACGTTGGATTAGCAGACATATTAGTTTTATACCTCGTTTCATCTAATTGGTCTGTATCAAAACAGTTATAACAATTTTTACTTATAAGTTCCTATGCAATATTGTTACGTCTCCGTTTGTTAATTAACTTTCCGTAACTTCGTTCCGACGAAACTTAAGCGACACAAGTCCTTTCTTAATAAAACTGGTTTATTCTTTCCGAATATAACTTTACCGATACACTCAACTTCAACAATCGCGCTAAACAAACGCTATAACAACGAACGTGCTT